GAAGAAGAGGTAGGTCTGATGGAGTCACCATTACATCCAGACATACTAGCTACATCAGGAGTTGCTTTGTCAGCACTCAAAAAGCATGCCCCAGCAAAAAAACCCACCAACTTGGGTAATCTGAACTAAGATGATTGTGACTGGGGCTAAAAACAGCTTTGTTTGACAAGTGTTGTCAGCTGGTGTGGCGTGATCTCTTTACCGCTGCTCAAAGGAATACACAGTCAAGGCATCTTGAACGTATACTCCTTGGACTAGTTATGGCAAATTAAAAACCAAGCAGTCATGAGTCTTTCAAAAATTGAGATGTTTATATATCACAAGAGGAAACAGAGTTGTTTTTCTCCCTGTAAGAGCCCCACTGACAATGAAATAGAGAAGAATTAGTTAGGAAACAGGTTACCAAAAAAAAGTGTTCATATGACACCGTTTGGAAATACTGTGGAAACCCTGTTGTGACAATGCATGATAGCATGTCTCAACACAGGAAACTATTTGTGCATGGCTTGCAAACGAGACTGCAGATTGCTGGCTCTCAGAGAATCAGCACTGCAGATAAAAGAGTGAAGAAATTCTAAGCTGTCTAGTCCTACATGTCATCTGTGGCCAGCATTTAAAGTTGCTGAACAAAACTGCATGTTGCTTACTTAACACCCTAACTGCTTATCCTCCTATTGGATTTTCTCAGGGCAAAGTCCGCTGTGGCGAATGAACACGTCTGGTGCAATCACTGTAGAAGTGAGAGAAGGGTTTGTTCAGCCTAGAACTGCAAAGGGTCTCCTCTTCCTCCTTCAGTGAAAACATGCGTTACAGCTAACCTGATCTCTATTTGCCTCACAAAGGTGCAAGCCTGACATGGTGCAGCCCCAACGCAAGCACTTATGACACGCGGACTAGGAGTATGTGGAAAGTTCAATAAGTTGCTAGAGCAATTCTAGTTCCCGTGTCCACTGTTTCCACAACATAAGTTATAAAGGGGTGGGGACAAGCCCAAGCTGAGCTTAACTAATGAAAGTAATTTGTCACCTTAGCCATCGGTTTCAAATCTCTGAGCCAAGAAATCCAGTGACCGGGGGCAACAGGTCGAACTGCAGCTTGCTGGCGAAACAGAGAGAGTTCAGACTTGAACTCTTTTTTGACCGTCTCTGTCCTATTAACCCCACACCAAGCGTCAGTGTCGTGGTCAGGAAACTCCATCTTGTCAAGGCTGCCTGCAGTAACAGCCTACGGTCTCAACAGCTTCAGACTCTCATGAGAATTAAAAAGTTTTCCTGGATCTTTATCACTACAAGCTGATACTTATGGCCTTTGAAGATAAGCAGGTCATGTCCAGCCAGAACTGGGTGAAAGACCTACTTGGAAAACATCTCTCTGCAGCAAGTGGTGCATGCATTTCACACTGATGCTCAGAGGACATGGTTTCCAATGCCTTTTCCTGCAGAAGCTGCTTCACAGTCCTGACAGTCAACGAACACCTTCAACACTGACTGAATTTTAGTTAGCAGAACTGCAATCCAGTTACTTAGGTTCCTGCTCCAGGTTTTCAAGTGAAACAGGGTGGCATTCCTACTGAAAATGCTGCCGTGAAGCACTGCTACCTAGGACTTCAGAGGTGGCTGGGGCAATTCCTGTGTGATGTATACAGAATACTTTAGCATTTTGGGATGAAAGTTGCCATGCAAACAATAATCAAACTTCTGCAGCTGTTCAGAGAACAATCTACAATTTGGCTCCAGCTTTCCAAGAGACACCCAGCACTGAACACCTCCAAACTGCACTGAGGTATTAAGACAAAAAGTATACTCCCACCAAATAAACAGAAGGAAACACTGCCAACACTCACCGTAGAGAGCTGTCCAAGTTTGATTAATTACATCTAGACATACAGTTCCTGACCTGAAACAGATGGAAAGAAAGAGCAGAATTGAAAACATCTGCAAGTTAGATAAACACTTCCAAGTTTAACACAGGTTTTGATTTCCACCTCGGCCAACTCTTAGGGTAAGTTGTGTTAAGCTACAGATGGGACTGGATCAGCAGCCGTAGTAAATAGGTGAGCTTTTATACTAAGTTCGCAGACTTTTGACAAGCAAGGAATCTCACTAGCGAGTTAGTCTGAAAAAGGACGGTGGGGCTTTATTCAATGGGCAAATGAAGTGACCCAATGAGGGTTTCTAGTTATATATTATAAGTGAGGTTGTATGCCAATGCTAATTAATACAGAAGGGCCAGTAGGCTTTGCCAATGTTCTTCTTGCTCTGGAGAAAGCCCATGCTGTACCTGTGAAAAGCAGGATTAGCAAGCCTGGACGCTTCCGGCTAGAAGAGGCAGCTCATTTATTTAAAAAGAGCAGCCAATGTTGTCTACATACAGGCCACAAGCAAAGACGATTTCTGCATCGCATATCCCCATGCACTCCTGCCTCCAGCATCAATTCGACCTGGACGTCTACCAGGGGGTTAGTTACATGACACACTGTCCATTCACATCAGGTTCTTAGCCTGGACTGTCAGTGCTGGATTAGATGAAAGCTTTAGCCAACCCTACCTATTAGCATACTTAAAAAAAAAAAAAAAAAAAAGGAAAAAAAGCTGCTTTAGCTCTTATGAAAAGCATAATACTGTTACAATCTGATAATATCCTTAATTAGAATACCACACAACAAGGATTTACTTACGCTTCGTCAATGTTGGGATGGAAAATTTTATTCATGAATCCTGTAAAGAGATGCACATTGGTAAATATTAAAAAGAAGGTGCCAAACAGGGTTTACAGAAAAGAGGCAGGATATTTACTTAGTGAGCCCTCATCTCAATAAGGTTCATTGGAAGCCTTGGGTTAGCTATACATAGTAATGTGACCTTTAAAATGTGCAAGTTCCATTTTGACCCAAGGGTCCTCAGCTGTTCCCTCCAAGTTCATCAAAAGCTCCTGTTTATGCTGCAATTGGATTCTGAGATTTTGCAGCCCAGTATCATCTCAAAAAGTCATTTCCCCATCAGAACCACGAAGCACATGCTCTTTGCTTCTCCAAGTTGCAAGGGGTTTTAGAACAAATACTGTAAACACAGAGACTTAAGCTCAACGTTTGCTCAAGGATTAAATTTTCTTTTTTTTAAATGTTGCCTAACAAAAGGTCTTCAATAAACTTCCAATCTTGGTATTAAGTAGTATTTGCTAAGCACGTAGCTACCTTTCTGCAGCACCGGGAGCCCCTAATACTTACCAACTGTTTTACAGAACAGCAACAGGACAAACTGTACCCCAGGTCTTGAGCAAGTACAGTAAGGAAAGTACTGCAGTTTTGAGACTCTGGAAGGTGCCAAGCTAAAAACCTGTTGCTGTTCAATGCTTTTTTTTTTTTGTTCTGGCTTGGAAACGAGCATATTGAAAGACACTGTGGTGTAGACAGTCACAGCATCAAACTAACCTGCAACCTGCTTATGTCCGTATCCATGAGCAGCAGCTACAGGTAAGCCATGTTCTTCAGGCAGCTGACTGAGGTTAGCTTAAACCAGTGGCTCTCAATCTTTTTACACTCATGGCACTCCTCAAAAAAACCCTCTTACCCTCTCACTCACTTTTTGACTACAGAAAAAAAAGTCCAACAACTCAACAGAGCAATTCTGCTGCAAAGGAATCAGAAATCCTGGTTTCTACACTATGGATTTCTATTTGAAATATCCAGGTGTGAATCACCCAGAATCTTGTGCATCGTGTTTGCACATCACTGTGCGGCCCCCAATGGCACTCCTGAAAGGATTATAAGGCATGCCAGACTGCGGTGGCACCCAGAGGGAGAATCACTGGGTTAGGCTCATCCTCAAGATAAGTGCAGGTGGTACCAAAACTGCCCCAAATCCCCATCACCGCCCCCTCAAAAGGGACACCTCAGTCTATTTGTTTTATAATACCGGCATGTGCATTAGGTACTGTAAACTATACGGATATTGAAGAACAGCAAGTCCCTGCCCCTCACAGTTTAAGCGTACCATATTCTCTAACCAGTAGCGAAAGCAGAGCTAGATTTCCACTAACAGACTGCTGGAATTAAAAACAAGATACTATAGTGAAAGAAAAAAAAAAAAAACCACATTACAAAAGCCTAACAAAAGATTGCTATGGGGATACAAGGGAATTTAAAGTAATGATATCTCCCTTTCAGCTAGGATGAATATCCGTTTGTGTATCTACTAACTTGTCACTGAATAGTTTTAGCTCTTTATGTGTTCTCCATAAAAGCTGTTCTTAGCTTCATTTTTATATCATTTTAAGGAGTTGGGTTTCCATCAAAAGCTTTTTGACATTTTAACACCGCTATCTTCCAGAACTTAAAATCAAGCCTCCTTTGCTTTGTGCATTACCTCTGAAACAAGTGCCACCTTGGGAATATTACTGGCCAGGGAAATGTTCCTTGCCTTTTCTGCAACAAGGAGAAGTTTGTCTGCTCTTGTCTCTAAAAAGAGAGATAGTTACCAAGGCCTTTATGTAGAAAAATAGGAAGAAGATTCCAATAATGTTGAAGATAGTTAAATCTGGGGCACTGGTTTTACTTCATCCCTTTAAACAGGATCCATATCTATTGTATCCTCAAAGGACAGCTAAAAATATTTTCTATTTCAGTAGAGACAAGTTGTACACTCGCAAAGTTGTAATGCAAGTCAAGACTGTGTTGGCGGTCTGAGTTCGACAAACTCGGTGCCTCTATATAACCTTATGTTTGGCTACTCTTCAGTAAAGTCACGAAATATTGATACACCATCTCCAGCCAAGAGAGGAAGTGATCTCAACTTGCGAGTGACAGAATGAATCCCAGCTGGGGTAGGAGAGTTGACATATGGAATTAACTCTATTCCTTTCCATGCATTTAAAACATGAGTGTAGTTTAATTTTTGCTGGAATGGCTCAGAATTCACATATATACACAACGTGAGATTGAAACGATGCCCCAAGTCATCACAGAGCAGAGACCAAGCCTGAATCAGAGGTTGCACTGTGCCATGGACTAGACCCACAGTGAATGATGGTTCACTGTAAAGGGCTTTGCTAGGTGGAGATGACAGAGTGGGGAGAAGGATGAAGTAACAAAAATAAGATGTGGATGCACAAGTGAGCTGAGCTGACCTTCTGGAAGTACGCTCTCTATTCCTACCTCCAAGATTCAAGCCCTGCCACTCCCCAACCTGAGTTGTACTGTGGTTATTTCCACCTCCTGCAAAAGACAACAGCATCTGCAGCTGTCACAGCATAGTCCTTTACTCCTTTCTGCTATACTCCAACATACTCAATCCTGGGCTCCAGAGCAGCTGGAAACGCTCTTTTGCAAAAGCGATTCCTCAGCCAAGTGTTTCTTTAACAGGAGAGTCAAACTCACTCGGCCCCCAAGGGCTGGATCTGGACCGAGGGGCTCCCTGCAGGCCAGATTCAGACCCACCAGGTCAGGGAGCCATGTGGATTAATGCAGCCACCGCTTACCCTAGTGCTGTCAAAACATATCCCCAACAGGACTCTGTACTTGGGTATTTGGCAGCAGGCCCCACACCCAAACTCGCAGCCTCTCCAAGGAGCCCTGTGGACGAGACAAAACTGCTCCACGGGTCAGAACTGGCTCATAGATCATATACTTGGCACCCCTGATATGCAACATCTACCAAGCCATTCACTTCATTATGCATGTAGTTGCTTAGGCTATAGTCTGAAATTGTGGAGAGCTCAAGGAAGCAAGTCCATCTATTCAAGTATTATACACACACTGGTCATCTTGCTTATTCTTTTATGAAAAGTTTATTTGAGTCCTCATAGCTAGAAGACTAACTGCCTCCTTCATGATGCCCTAAGGTTCAAGTTCTCCGAAGGAAATGGCTTGTCTCCTGTTCTACAAGGAGAAACACAGCCTCTCGCCATCATTTTTAGCTGCTTAATTCGTTACAAAGCCTCATTTGTTAGTCTTTAAGACATTGGCCAAGTCACGAGAAATTGAAGGCAACTTATTACGTGCCAAGCTGATCTGCATTTAAGCACAGTTCTATCCAGCCGCTCTCCTTCCTTATGCCCCATCTGTGACTACGGTCTTCAAACCTTTGATGTCCAATAACAAATTAGACGTTTCGGTCACCTAGCCCTGGCCTAATAAAAAAAAAGTGTAACAACATACGAAGATGAAGCTGGCTTATACTTGCAAATAGAGATCATAGTTGAAATGGGAGACCTCTGACATGACATTTGTTTAAGGGACTCTACACCTGTAAAAACCAAAGCTCTTTCCAGCTGATTTTGAAGAACATACCCAAGTTCTTAAAAGCCAAGATCTTCAATAATACAGCACAGCCTTGATCAAAATGTCATGCAGAGCTCCAAATAAGCTGATACTAAGATAATTTTCAGGGTAATACATATTAAAGGACATGACCCTGTTTTGAATAATCAAGGTTATACTGTACTGGTTATGCAAAAGGTTGAAGTCAGTCTAGTTTCTGCAAGTACACCTGTATCACAAAATTACAGCATCTTTGCTTGGACAATGCACCAGGCTACATTATAAGCCTTATTTGTATGTACAGCACTCATCATAGAAGTTTAGTCAGATGGCACAGTGCAAATACCGTGCTTTAGACATTTAACAACTGAAAAAAGCCAATGTTGGTTTGAAATTATAAATGGAAGTGGGATGCTATCCGAGTTTCAGCTGCTTGTGCACGCAAGTCGGGCTATTTCAAGAACTGTATTCTAAGATACTCTTTTTCCTGCTAAACAGAGAAGATCTATCCATGAGAGTGATCAGCAGAAAGTGACAACCACCTTGATACTGATGGGCTCAGCGGGCATATTTAGACTGCCTCGCAAAAATACTTTGCGGTAAAGCTCTGAAGTAGCCATTGCTTTGGTTGATAGACCTTCAGTAGAGAAATGCATTTTTGTAGACTTCCTTTCGGCACGTAACTTCGAGGGCTGCCAACTCTGCCTTGGCTGCTCCAAACAAAATAAATGTACAAATCTGTAAAATTCCAAAAACTAGACAGGTTTTAGTGCACTCTTGGCATCTAAACTTTGACATTTCCTCTTGGAGATTTTGGGTCTTGGCAGAGTGACAGGAAAATAGGGTCCTGGCATCTTAAGTTCAACAACAAAGAGAAGCTTGAAAACAGATTGCAAATATAGAGCCCCCCTAGTACTAATGGACCTACAAACGCTGATTTAACTGAAGAGAGCTATATGAGTGAACTTATTTTACAGACGACCTTCCAAGTCAACAAAGTTCAAGCGGACCACTGTTCACATTGATTTCTTTGTTAGGAAAAGCTTCCAACAACGGACTCCATGGACACACCCCAAAGTATGTCCTCAATCTCCATGGATAGATTTATGCTTCTGGGTACTGGGTTCCAGTTGGGTTGAAACCTTCCTGAGGAAAATGCACATACTACGTGGAGAGATGTCCAACATCTTGCCTCTCCTGTCAACTTAAAGAAGTCTGGAACGGTGTTCAGCAGCTTCTGGATGTAAGGGCCAGCAAAATACCATGTGCTTATGAATCATCTCTTCGTCTCAGTCAAGGATGATAGTCTTCCCCGTGAGCCCAAAGATGGCTGATGAGGCCGATCCGGGAACAAACTCTGTTGCAACTTGGGCATGTGTTTCCACGCGGAGTGGGTGGCTCTGGATTCTCGATTCATTCTGCCACATGCTGTTTCTGCCGCTCCTGCTTTTCCATCTCCTG